ATCGCGCCAGCGGCAAAAAAAGAGCTTTTTTCGTACTGGTCTGTTAGCGGGGAGAGATTTAAGCGGACGGAGGTAAACTCTTAAAATTTATTTTTTAATTCCTGAAATGCTTGGTAATTAAATGGTCAATATTTTAATAGGATTAATAGCAAAACTTAACCATATTTAAAGTCGATAAACTATCTGAAAAATTCGAAATTTTAATCAAAAAAATAGGTATTTTTGTATTTTTCAACGACATTTTTAAAGTTAGTAGATCATAGAATCGTAGATAACAGTTGAGAAACCCTTGCTCTATTTGGAGAATTTTTGCTAGAAAATTGGGATTTAAAAAAAAAAAGTTGGTCCCCCTCCGATAATGCAAAAGCACCCCTTTCCTAATGCCTAGAATTCCTGTTCAACAAACTACAGCCAAAGGCCAAAAACTACACTTAGAATGGCTAAATTTGCTTAGAAAATTAGCATATCCGGAAAAACTGCGAAGAATTTCGAAAGGCAAACACACTTGCCAAATGCGAACATTTTTACCCATCCTTTTCTACTAAATCTACTCGGCAGAACTAGAATGTTCTCGATCTTCTATTCCATGATGTCTATCCCGTTGTCTCTGTTGTTTCTAGCGTACGTTTCATTATTATAATTTAGATGCTATAAAACCCTTTTTGCAGTTCATATTCCCTGATATTCTGCAAGGGGGAGTCGCATCGCGAGAAGAAGACCAAGGTCAAAAACGAAAAAGACGCCGGCGACGCCGAGGAGGACAAGAAGGGAGGAGGTCCGGTTGCAGTTTTTCGCATATTTATCGACTATTTTGATTATTAATTATTACTATTTGTTTTCTTCGAATTTTCGGCTTTTTTTCTGGGGAAATACACCTCAAAAGAGCCAAAATTTGGGGAAAATGTGTGCAATGCACAGGGTTTGCTGGTAAAGAGTAGCGTCTAGTACTCGGCTTCCTCAAAAACGGCGAACTATTTTTCCTTTAGTGTTCAATTATTCTTATAAAAAGTGAGGACCTGTTTCTAAAAGGTTTTTTACTATTTTTATACATAAAAGCGTTACAAATTTCATTAAAAATCTGAAATATCAAAGTTGGCGACGAAATTCAAACTGTTCAAATTTTTAAAGAGTTTAAAACTAAAAACACTATCAAGACGCTTACTATTAAGTTTCTAGGCATTTCTAGCTAAATACTGCTAGGAAAAAAGGTCCCCCGATAATGCAAAAGCACCAAAGCTTGCCATGACAACATAAAATTTAGGACAAAAAATTTACGTAGCTTCTAAAAAGAACGTTTTTCAGAAGACTTGGCCCAAAAATGGGGTCTAAACGACCAGCCGCCAGATGAGGAGATCAAGACCGATCTTGACGACATCAGAGAAGACAACCCGCTCGCCAGGATGAAGCCCAACAAGCACGGGTCGGTGTTGGGTACTGGACTGTTAGCGGGGGGGGCTAATTAACCTATACTACTGATATAACAACCTATTTGGTAGGGTTCTATAAACTATTTTTCTCGATTTCTTGAAGTGCTTTTCTAGCACTAAAAACCCATGAAAATATTTCTAGAAAATTTAGAGGTTTTAGCGTTTTATAGTGTTTTTGGTGGTTTTTGATGAATAAAGGAATCGTAGAAGTATTTTTAGAAGTTTTAAAAAGACCATTTTCATACATTTTTTTACTAAAAAACCCAATTTTTCTGAAATGCTAGCAATTTTTATGCGTTTTAGCTTAGTTTTGAGAGTTTCTGAGCCTTTTAATCGTTTTACAGTTACAAAATCAGTTCGAGACACGTTCTACAGAATTGGTACTGTGCTGTTAGCGGGGGGGGGCAATTTTGCGCGATAATCTGATACACCTACCTTGATGTTCAGCAAGCCCGACGACTCGAAGGGGGGAAAAGCCGACGAGAAGAAGGACGAAAAGAAGACGGCCAGCAAACACACGAAGAAATCGGCCGGCCTGAACAACCCGGAAAGGATCCCTATGGCCACCGAGAAGCATCGCGACAACTCCAAATATCTCGCATAAGAAATTCTTTTTTTGCGATTCCGGCTTTTTCGAATCCATTGTGCCTGTTGAATAAATCTTATGGCGTTTCGGCGGGGTGAAATAAGCAAAAAACGGAAAAATTATACTGGTCACTTAGCGGGGGGGCATAACGACGAAGCTAGCTAGCCTATACTTGGGCTACTTAAAACACATTGGATAACTATCTGATTGATAATTGTATTCTTATTAGAGCCAAACCCAAAAGGCCAAAGCCAAGCTAAGGCCAAGCTAAGCCTAAGCCAAGCCTAGACCAAGCCTAAGCCAAGCCCAAGCCTAAGTCTAAGCCAAGCCTAAGCCGATCCAAACCCCAAGCCTAAGCCAAGCTAATAAGCCTGGGCCAAGTCTAAGCTAAGCCAAGTCGCAGCTAAGCCCAACCCAAGCCGAGCCAAACCCCAAGCCTAAGCCAAGCCTAAGCCTAAGCCTAAGTCTAAGTCTAAGCCAAGCCTAAGCCGAGCCAAACCCCCAAGCCTAAGCCAAGCTAAGCCTGGGCCAAGTCTAAGCTAAGCCAAGTCTCAGCTAAGCCCAACCCAAGCCGAGCCAAACCCCAAGCCTAAGCCAAGCCTAAGCCTAAGCCTAAGTCTAAGTCTAAGCCAAGCCTAAGCCGAGCCAAACCCCCAAGCCTAAGCCAAGCTAAGCCTGGGCCAAGTCTAAGCTAAGCCGAAACCTCAGCGGTAAGCCCTCGTCAGGGTTCGATTCGATTGGGACGGGTCGATACTTTTGGCTATAGTTGATCACCAGGAGGCGGCGGATCAGGTCTTAAGCTACCCCATCCGATGTACCTCGCTCTTCCGGTTCGATTGATGTGCATAAAAACCCCTTAGAACGTTTCTAGACAACCTCCAAGCCCCAATTTGTGCAAATATGAACAAAAAAGCGGTTTTACGGGGATATTTTTCCGGAATGGCCTCGAATCAGGTTTTAAGCTGCACCATTCGATGCGTCTCACTCTTCCGCGTCAGAAGATACCGATAAAAACCTCTTAGAACCTTGCTAGACAACCTCCAGACCTCAATTTATGTAAATCTTAGCAAAAAGTTGTTTTACGGTTGCGGTTTTCCGGATAAGTATCGGATCAGGCTGTAAACCACCTCAATCGATGCAGCCCACTATACTTCGTCGTCCCCCCCGGGGGGATCCCCCACGAGGGGGGACCAGGGGGGACTGCAAAGGGGGGGATGGTGGGGGGACCCAGGGGGGGACGGTGGGGGGGACCACTGGGGGGATCCCCCCGACTCGCAAGTGCGCGCAGTGTGTGGTTAGATAGATCTCAATACTTGTTAAAGAGCTGCTATTTTTGATAATTTAAAATACAGCAGCATGTGGTTGTCGAAAGTTCTGAAATGCCGAGAGCCCCAACGAGCTAATTTGCCCCAATTTTTAAATTTTTACAGTCTCAAAGATTTGAGTGCCCAGCCTTTCAATTATTTAAAATTTTGGGTTGATTTTGGGTTGATTCTGATTTTCCATCGATTCTTTGCCAGGTAAATCAGAGCTTTCTAGTATGTGTTTTGTCGGGCGAGCTAAACCAGAATTTTCGAATTCGTCATTAATTTTAAGAATTAAAAAACTTAATCTAAACATCAAAACATCAGACTTTCCAAAAAACGTATGTGTCCAACTAGAAGGTTCGGTTTAGTTTTCCCGACTACGCAATACGGGTGCCAGAAAAACTGGGGCGGGGGCGGGGGGGGAGGGGGAGGGGGGAGGGGGAGGGGGATCCCCTCCCCATCCCCCCACCGTCCCCCCCTGGGTCCCCCCACCATCCCCCCCTTGCGGTCCCCCCCTGGTCCCCCCTTGTGGGGGGATCCCCCCCGGGACGACGACGAAGTATACAGCTCACTCTCCTGCGTCGAATGATACCCATAAAACCCACTTACTGTAAAGTGTTTTTACTCAAGCTGGCGTTTTAGAATGGGACCAAGCCTATCTTGTGCAGAATTTTTCGCTGATTCCGAATCTGGTTTCCAATTTGCTGCCGACCTTTATTTAAAAAGTTATTCGACATTTAGGCTAAAAAAATGACTAAATCTGGAATTGCTGCGTTATTTTTTAAGTTGTGGTCACCTCCGACGTTACAACTGGCTCGGTAATGGTTTTAGAGGTCAAAGCACGATTGTGTGAAAAAAATTATGTGTTTTTGTGCAAAAAGCAAAAGAAATTGTGCAGGGCGGGGATCGAACCGCCGCCCTGTGCCTGGCAAGCGAACAGCCTACCGTTGCACCATGGTGCCAACTGGGATGGGGCTTCGGGAGGGTAGATAAGGGGCACAACCATACCTGGACCCCGGCAGGGAATAGTGTGTATGTATATGGAAATAATAGTGAATAAGCATCCGAATTTATGCCGTTTTTAAGCTTAATTTAGACCAAAAATGACTTTTCAACGCGAAGTCCGCAGCAAATTTGGACAACGGATTCGGAATCAGCAAAAAATTCTGAACAAGATAGTCTTGATCCCATTCCAAAACGCCAGCCTGAGTAAAAACACTTTACAGTTAGAACTTTGTTAGACAATCTCCAAGGCGGTTTTTAGGCCTGGGTTTTTCTCCCAGCCCATCGAACCCTCGCCCTCGCATTCCGATCTTTGATGAGCACAAAAGGTGTTTATTCCGGTGACACACATATGTAAAAAAGAAATCAGTTGTTTCCGGGCAAAAAGGCGCCCAGGGCCGCGAGCGCCTTGAAAACGTGTCCGGCAGCGACGAGGTGAGTAGTAGCGTGTCCCGGAGCAGCCGCGGCTTGCCCATCGACTTCTCGAGCATCCGGTGGCAAAACGGCAGCAGGAGGGGGCTCAGGAAAATCAGCTGGGCCAGTGGCGACGGGGGCGGCGGGCGTGTGCACGAACGGTTCCTGCCTCTCCTCTTTTTTCTCTCCTTCTCCTTCTCCTTTCTCATCACCGAAGGGCGGCCTGGTCTGGCTCGGGTCGGATGTAAAGTCCCACTCGACGGCATGCTCGACCTGAAGGAATTGCGTGTTAATGCTAACCCATCGCATGAATGTACCTCGTGGGGAGCCGGGAAGGGTGGCAGCTCGCCTCCATTCGCTTCGAGGAAGTCACGCCAACAAGGTAGATTTGAAAACATTTTTCGGTTCTGTGCTGATAGCGGGGGGGGGGGTGAGTTAGCAGGGGGTAAGCTGCATATCCTATTTTTATAGTTTAGTAGTTTTTAGTAGTGTTTTCGTTCTAGAAAGTCATTAAAATATTTTTGAAAAACCAATGTTTCAGTTGCGCCGATGTTATGCCCTAGCAAAGTACCAGAAAAAGCTCGCCCGTGATCTGCGGCTCGACTTCCTCGAAGCGAATGGAGGCGAGCTGCCACCCTTCCCGGCTCCCCACGAGGTACATTCATGCGATGGGTTAGCATTAACACGCAATTCCTTAGGTCGAGCATGCCGTCGAGTGGGACTTTACATCCGACCCGAGCCAGACCAGGCCGCCCTTCGGTGATGAGAAAGGAGAAGGAGAAGGAGAGAAAAAAGAGGAGAGGCAGGAACCGTTCGTGCACACGCCCGCCGCCCCCGTCGCCACTGGCCCAGCTGATTTTCCTGAGCCCCCTCCTGCTGCCGTTTTGCCACCGGATGCTCGAGAAGTCGATGGGCAAGCCGCGGCTGCTCCGGGACACGCTACTACTCGCCTCGTCGCTGCCGGACCCGTTTTCTGGAACATCAAACAGAATTTCCTAACCGTAAAAATACGCATTTATATTAGCCTATTTGAATGAGAAATATGATTCTAAAGTGATTTTTCAATGTGAAAATCCAAAAAATAACGCTTTCATGATCAGAATGGCTGTTTCTTGGCCAAAATTTCGATTGAAAATTTTCCGTAAAATTTTTATGCTTTCTTTTACGTGAATTATAACGCATGCATTTCTATATTATTGTTAACTATTGCTAAGCAGAAATCCCCCCGATAATGGGAAAGAACCATCAGCGCCCTGATAAATAAGAAATATATAAACAAAAATAAGATAATAAAATTTACTTCTTTGTTATAACAGAAGCGGGCGGTCTCCCATTCCTCTTGAGCCACCGACAGGTTAATAGTAGCCGATTCCCTCTCCATAGTCAGGTTGTAGGGGTTCTAATATGGATCCAGAGCAACCCACAGGCCATACCAGATCCATTATCAGTTGTAGTCGTTTCAGTTGTAGAGAGAAATAGTCCAGTCGAAATAAATCAGTGGTGGATAAAATTGCTGAAGTGTCCTCCTCTTTAATACGTTCATTCCTGTGCAAATCATCGTAAGATTCCGGGTCTTGCGATGCGTTATGATAATTTAGGCTTAGACCAGCGCTGACCCCCCGCTGCGCGGGGGTTCAGCGCTGGCCCTCCTCCCCCACAATTTGGATTTTTAAGTTGAATGCAGAATTTGGCTGAATTCCCGGTCGCACGGACGGACGGACATTAGAAATTTATATATAGTAGATGCTATTCAGATGCTAATCCTTCTTTCTTTGCCCATTTCTGGTCCTGGTGTTTGTAACTGAAAATTGACTGGTTTTTTAAGGCTAAGCTAAGCCTAAGCAAGGTAGAAGCTACTAAGCCTAAGTCTACGCCATGCCTCGGCCAAGGTTTTTTCGGTTTTAGGTTTTTCAGCTAAAAAGGATTTATGCGAATTTACATGGTTTTTAGATAGAAAAACACTATAAAATAATAAGACGCCCCCCCTCCGCGGCTAACAGTCCAGCACCGTTTATTGCATACAGGGTGGTCCAAAAAAAAGAGCGGAATTTTGCGCCGAAATATCGCTCGAACGGAAACGAATCAGACCATGCTTACCTTGCCAGAATGCTTAAATATGCTGGGCATGAAGAAATAACACAAGTTGTTTTTTAAGATTTTTGACGACAGGTCGTTAAAATTTTTTGAAGATCTTTATAAAAGTAAAAAACTTTGAAGAGGAAAATCATGGAACTTTTAATTAGTTAGTGGCACAAGAAGGGTATCAAAATGAAGCTCTTGGAATGCGCTATCAAACCAGTGGTAAAGAATTTTGATCGATTTAACTACCGTGAATAGGAGCGTTCGGAAAATCGCGACTTTTCGGAGAAATAATTCTAGATATGCTTTATTTACCAGCCGATCTTTCTGATCTTTTGCAGTTAGCAATAGATCGATAATTACCTAACTTTTGGCATCAAGATTTTCAAAATCGCGATCAAAAATTTTGTTGACCCCCCTGCCTCAAATATCATTCCCCGGAATGAGAAGAATGAATAAAGGGTGTAACGTGTTGTCCGTTGTAGCCCCCCGAAACAGCACGTTCCCTTTAAATACAAGCATGATACCTCGGTGCTTTTCCATTATCGGGGGGAAGGGCTTAGGAGAGCAAATTTTCTGCTAAAATAGAGGAAGTGTTTGTAAACTGTTTTTTACTACTGCTGAAAAATGCAGAAATATAGATTTTCGACGAGAAATCCCGATTTTCCATCAACCTGGGATAATAGGAAACTCCCCCCGATAATGCCAAAGAACCGTCACTTTCTCTGTCTGCTCGGATCGGGAACGATTAGCCCTTTCATGGTACTGGGCCATTAGCGAGGGGAAGGCAATTTTTTGGATCTAAAACCGACGCAAAATTATGGCTAAAAATTAAGAAAAATAGAAAAACGGGATTACTAGGGAAAACCCGCTCCCCCGCTAACAGCCCAGTATCTTTTTTTCATTTTCAGAAGCGAAGAGCTAGAGCATTCGCGGGATGAACTGCGCCGGACACTGGACAGCCTCGAGTATAAGGCCCAGGTTCGTGGGAAGGGCCAGGGCCACGTCTTCACCGGAATTCGCTTCTAACACAACACCACATGTCCAATAATCGAATTATCTTGTATCCCTGCACGAATTATCACTAACCAATAAATTGTCGACACCGGAAATGAAAGTGAAAAGTGCATTTAGGAGCCGCTGAAGCGACAGATTCGAGCACTCAGCGAGCAATTGGCAGAGAGCCAGCAGCGTTGTAAGGTAAGAAAAATTAATTGAATTTTTATCGTGCTTTGGCATTACGGGGGGGTCTCTTTTTCTACGCCCCAAGCTTTGCGCTATCAATAGAACAAGAGCTTTTACACAGTATTTGAAATTCTTAAACGCAGGGGCGCCACAATTTTTAACTAAAAACCTAGTTATTTTAATTGCCAGCACCCAATCTACGTATTTAGGAGCTGAACGGACTCGTCTCCGGCCTCGCCTCCGATGCGCGCAATAGCCAACACGAAGCCGCCGATTTTCTGTACGAAACGGCCAGCCGAATTTCACAGTTTTGACAGTGAATAAATATTTCCAATTGCTCCGATTTTTCCTGTAGACATTTGGGTTTAATGGTTTATTCCGGAAAGAGGTTGGCTATGATTATTTCTTGCTGTGCTGCTTCTTGTCCGCCTTCCATTGTCGCTCATTCGATTTGCGCTGTCGTTCGGCGAGTAGTCGTTTCCGTTCCTCTTCGCCTGGGGTCGCTGTCACCGTCGAGATTCTAGAAGATGTAAGTTTTTACAGGTGGCGAAGGTACTACACTGTTAGCGGGGGGGAAGGCAGAACCACATTTTCCCTGTGATTCTCTAAGGCCCTATCGCAAAATACAAACAATTTTTAAGGCATTTTACATAGTTTTTAGATAGCAAAACAAGAGAGAAGAAATCAAAGTTTTCGAAAATTTTTTACTTTTTCGTCAAAAACCTATGAAAAATGCCCAAGGTCCAATTTTCGAATTTTCCAACTTTTCAAAAGCATTGTTGATAACCTTCTAGCAATTAAAAACTACTGAAAGCACTATAAAAAAGCCATTAGCAAAAAGTGTTTTTTTCGACTATCCCTACTTGGTTCTAATTTTCATCCTTGTCAGCGGGTTGTCGTCCCTGATGCCGTCGAGGTCGGTCTTGATCTCCTCATCTCCTGGCTGCGGGTCGTTCAGTCCCCATTGATCGGCCAGGTTTTTCCCTGAAAATAAAACTCATCGTTGGATGCTCAGCATTGGAACAGGAGCAGCGGTGTTGACAGGATGAGCATCGGCATATTGGCATAACGGTTGACAGAATGGGCCTCTTGCGCGGCTTTCATGGTGGCAGCGGCGTCGTCCAGCTTCTTCTTCAGCTCCCTTTCGGTCTTTTCGAAGTACTCGTCAACCACCTATAAAGTTGGGTAAATTTCTCATTGATAATTGAATTTGTGGTCGAGGAATAAAGATGAACTAAAAAAGACGGAAAAAGGAGGGAAAAGAAGAAAGAAGAAGATAAAAAATAAGGGCCAAATTAAAGGTTTGTCTAATAAAGATTGGAATACCTTCTGCAGCTGGTCCGAGGTGTAGTATTGGTAAGACTCCAGATACCCCCCAGCCGGCACCCAACTTTTGTATCTCGGCTCCCTGTTCATCTACAGGTGTGTAAAGTATACCAAAATGTTCGTCTTGCTGTGGCGAGTATTTTGGTATACTTTACACGCCTGTAGATGAACAGGGAGCCGAGATACGGTAGGTGGGGGGTCGGCTGGGGGGTTATCTGGAGTTTAGCCGTAGTCCTTGTAGATGTCGTCGACCTCTTCTTTTGCCAGGTGCGCGAGCCGACGAACAATTCTCCCGTCGTAGCGCTCCAACGACCGGCTTGCAATGGCCATCCTCTGCAAAGATCGATGGATTTTGGGGGTGCTTTGGCAATATCGGGGGGGAGGAATGGCAAGATTTTGTTTAAATTATAAACTTGTAAATATTTTTGTTTATATTTAATGCCAATTTGGAAATGTTTTACGGTCAGTAGTAGTCAAATATTATTCATAAAACATTTGCGCTAGTTATAAAAAACGTTGGCCCCCCGATAATGCCAGGTACTGCCCTCTTGGCAGGGGGAAATTTCGCCCCCCCCCGCTAACAGTGCAGTACCTGAGCGTTCTGCTGAGCTTTTTCTGCTGAACAAAATGAACTAATAAGCTGTGGGAAATTTCCAATCTCCGGGAACCCCACTTGGTTCTAATTTTCATCCTTGTCAGCGGGTTGTCGTCCCTGATGCCGTCGAGGTCGGTCTTGATCTCCTCATCTCCTGGCTGCGGGTCGTTCAGTCCCCATTGATCGGCCAGGTTTTCCCCTGAAAATAAAACTCATCGTAGCAGCTCAGCACAATCGTTGGTACTAGATTCTTAGCGGGGGGAATGTTTCCGAAGTTTCGAAATTTTTTAGAGTTTTAGAGGCCAAAAATGTATGAAAAATGGCCGGAAAACGATCATGTTTTTCAAATTTCAAAATTTTACGAGTATTTTGTAGGATTTACCAATCCCCCCCCCCGCTAATAGTGCAGTACCTGAGCGTATGGAGTCTCTGCCGGATTTGTGTCCCTCATCAGATCCGGGCGGTGATTTCTCGCGTCGCCGCATCTTCCTTGATCAAAAAACCGCTAAACCCCCCCCCCCCCGCAAAACAAATAGAGCAAGTAATTAGTTATCGATCGGGTTTTCGGGCAGATAGGTTCCGATCGCAGCAAGGATCTTGAGCACGGGACCGACTTTGAGAGGGCGGGTAGCATCAGGAGAAGTGGTGACGACGGTTGGCATTGGAGCAGGAGCAGCGGTGTTGAGAGGAGGAGCATCAGCATGTGAAGGGCGGCGGGAAACGGTAGTACCCTCCTCGTCCACCTCATCATCCGAAGACGGCGATGGGGGGAGACTTGGCTTGGTGTGCACAGCCAGGTCGAAGGGCGAACCCCACTGCACCGCATCTTCCACCTGAAGCAATTGAGTGTTAATGATAAGTCATCTCATGAATGTACCTCTGGGAGGTCAAGGGAAAAGTTGGGCCCTTCTCCATTCTCATCCTCATAGGCGCGGCGCAGGGCGCGGGCCTCCTTCATCTGATACTGGGCCAAGGCATAGCAGCGGCCGAGCTGAAAAATTGATTTTACCGGGCCTTTCAGCGGAGGAGCCGTCATGTGTCGATTGGATGCGTTTGCGTTCACCATCTCCTAACTCCTCATAGTGGTAGTCGAAGCGAGCTCGGTGTAGCTGAACAGTCGGGTACGGTACACCGACGCCGACTCACACAAAAGGCAGCCCCTTGACGAGACCAGCATCCTGGGCGGCTTTCAATCTGGTGGATCTCGTCGTAGAGTTTTCCGGTCCAGGGCAGCTGGCCGACGATCATTTCGATGAAGAAGTACAGCCAGGCCTCGATCTCGTCCCGTGCGCGCACCGAACCTATTTTTGCGATTAGCTGATCCTAAGAATAGGGCTGCTAACCGGTGTTGGTAGGGGCGTAATGGGGACCGCCGGCCCAGCTGACAGGAATCGACCAGTCCCGCTTCCCGGGGTCGGCACGGATCGTCGAGAGGTCGCTGAGGAAGAGATTCCGACCGGCCGCGTCAAAATGGAACATCTCCGGCTCGAGGCAGCGCAACAACATGCTGTACTTGTGCACGTACCGGATGCACTAAAAGAACGGTCTTTAGTTCTTTAGTGTGGGGTACTTACTTCCTGATTCAGGCTAACCTCCATCGTAATAAAATATAGGCTGTCTTCTATAGTATTTTCACGGTTTTCGAGTACTAAAAAGGCATAAAATTGCTGAGTTTTGGTATTTTTTTTGGTGATTTTGCATGGCTTTTTTGACCAAAAACCACCAACTTTCGACATTTCAAAAACTTTTCATTTTTCCAAAAAAGGCGAAAAATATTATAGAAATTGTTCTTAGGCGCCTGCCGGAACATATTAAGTAACCCTCCCCCGTTAGTGAAAAAGCACCGGAATAATTGCCCTACCTAAAGACTGCATCCACGAAACCAGGCTTTTCCACCTGTAGTACAGCATGTAGAAAGCGTAGCCGTCGGCGTTCCAGCCACTATGAAGCTGCGAAAAGTATGGCAACTTGTTGTCGGCCTCGACCTTCTTGAGGAACTCGAGCTCTTGGCCGATGATGCGACCGGGGATCTTCTCGACGCGCAACACCATCTCCTTGTCGTGGGCCGTCACCAGGTACGTGCCGCCGACTTTGTCGTCAAAGCCGACGAGCTCGTAGACCTAATAGCGGAGATCAAAAGCGGAACAACTGAACCCTACCACACACTTGTAGTGGTTCTTCTCGTCCATCAGCAGGTGATTGGGCTTGTAGATTGGCACATCGTTGATGAATGTGACCTCCTTGACCTTGGGCGGGATTTCTTCTTCCTCTTCTTCCTCTTCCTCCTCGCCGTCCCCTTCTTTCGGCTCCACATGCTCTTGCTCCTTGACACCTTCCTCAGCCTCCTTCACTTCTCCCAGATCCTCATCAACCTTCACCCTGTCTTCTTTCTGATCGACCGTCTTTAATTGTTCTTCTTCCTCGGTCTTGTCCTCCTTGCCGTCGCCGGGCTCGCCCGCATCATCGACTGGGCCATCGAAGAACGCGTTGGACACGGTACGCGTGGTCACTTCGGAACAATCTGCCGTCCCGTAGTCGTCACGAGCCAACGGGTCATACTCCTGCAATTTGCATATGCAGGAAAATTGGCTAAACGTACCTCAACGTCGCTGTAGACGACAGCCATTCCGGAGAAACCCGCACTCGGTGGTTAATGCGAAATAATGACTGAATTACTTGGCCGGTGACGATGCCGGAAGATACCGGTCATGCTAATTTTATGCTAATTTAGGGAAATTTCCTGCGAAACTAATTTTATGCAAATTTAAAGCAAAACAGTAAAAAATCCAAAATATTATTTTACCAAAATATTTATTTTTATATTACTTTATTTTATAATATTAATTGTATTACTTTATATTGATTTTTATACTATTTTTACCAAAATCCAAATTTTCCACACGCTGGTTCATTTCCATTATCGGGGGTATTTTTTGTATAAGCCAAAAGTGACCCCCCCCCGATAGTGCCAAAGAACCCATACCTGAATCTTGAGCTCATCCCTAATCTGCCTCAACCTGTCCAACCCCTTCAGCAGCTGCTCATTCTCGCCCTCAAGCCGTTCAGCGTCTACTCGTCGCACATCGAATGCCTGTTTAGCTTCTTCGAGGCGTACGGAGAGTCCAGAATTACTAAAAAACACCAGAATTCCCGTTAAAATTAAAAATCTTGCCTGGCTCGCAGTTCCTGCCCCTCTTTCGTTAATGCGGCAATTTTTTGGGCGGCCTCGGCGCGACTGGTGGATAATTCCTCGTCCTTACGGAGCAGTTCACTCGATAGCTGGCTTACCTAGAGATTAAATCAATCAGAATCGATCAGAATAGTCTTCAAGCGAACCCGTTCATTAGTGTTCGTCTGCCCGGCGCTCATCCCGCGCAACAGGTTCACCTCCTCCTCCTGAGCGGCAAATCGACCCTGGTAGGCCGTAAGCTCCCCCTCGACGTCGGCAAGTTTCCTGAACACCGGTGGATCTTCCTAGGTTCTTTTGCATTATCGGGGGGGGGGGGGGGGGGGCAGGGGGGCGGGCGCATTCCACGCATCCCACCTCGCATTTTGTTCGGCCTGACTCTGTGCTGCATTTAGCTTCAGCAGCAGCTTCAATTTTCATTTAAAAAGGTCAATTTTCAGTTAAAAACATCTATTTTCAGTTAAAAAATCGATTTTCAGTTAAAGAGGATCAATTTCAATTTTCAATCTAAAACAAAACATTCAAAATTCAAAACACACGAAAAAAACCAGTTTCCAGTGAACTGACTCCATCCCAAATGATCGGCATCTTGTTTTTTTTTGCTTGTAGAACTCTTTCACCCCGCCGAAACGCCATAAGATTTATTCAACAGGCACAATCGATTCGAAAAAGCCGGAATCGCAAGAAAAGAATTTCTTATGCGAGATATTTGGAGTTGTCGAAAGTTCTGTAGAGATCTTACGATTCTACAGGACTTACGAGGGTTTAATTAGGCGGACTTGGCGGGCGGCCAAATTCCCCCTGGGTCCCGGCGCGCGCCCCCCAGCGGGTCCACCGTATGGCGGCCGCCCTCGGCCCGGGGAAAGGGGCATTTTCCCCAGTCGCTGCAATTTCTCCCTTCCTGGGAGAATTGCTGCCGGTCATTTCTATGACTGGTAGGGCGAATTGGTGTTGGTGTGATGTGTCCTGCATCCCCGATACCGGTGACCCCGGCGAGCTTCTAATCCAGAGTGTATTTCTCCAACCTGTCCAGACCTAGCGCATTCCCCTTAATCCCAGACCTTCCCCGACTTGTATTATATATGTTCTCCGGTATTCTTGTATATTAATAAACTCTTATTCCACGAGAGTGTCCCTTATCCAGACAAATGCATTACACTACCGCTGATTAGCCGTTCGCGCGTCTTCTATTGGTTCAGGTCTTATCCCAACAAGGGATGCGGGTGGCAAGCCTTCGCGTGGGCGCTATTCTAGTATTTATTACTAGTCTAGCGTAGGGTGCCGCTTCCTTTTGTCATGGTGCGTCTACCAGGTTTCAACCGGGTCAATACTGCATTTGCCGTTTAAGCCAGACCTTTTGTAAGTTTAAGCAGACCCTTTTTTGGGTAAGTTTCAAGCAGAAGGTACCGGAGCACTTTTGTGCTAAGCAGACCCAGGTTTTCCCTCTCCAGTCTTTTTGCCGGAAGTACAACGGCGCCCCGGAAACCCGGGTGAGGTGATCGGTGGGTAATCATGGCCCTGATTGCCGCCCTTCTCAGGTTCGGCTCTGTCCGACGAGAGTTTAGCACTGCATAGCGCAGATGTTATTCACCACTCTAGTTCCCCATTGAACTGAGCGGCATCCATGGATAAGCGACCGATGACACGGAGTAACGGGAGTCAGACCCCATGCGTCTACCCGTCCGAATAAAATTCCGGCGTGAAAAACGGGAGTTGCCCCCCTGTGGCTGCCCGAAGCTTCTCAGATTCAATGGGGCGAGGAGGAGGAGGTTTTGCCTCATTCAGGCCCACGGAAGACTGCAGACATAAAAAGTGGTCTGTAAGCAGCTATCAAGTCAGACGACATGGGAAGGTCGAAGACTAAGCAGAAAACGCGTTCTAGCTCTGCGCTAAACGTAAAAAAGGAAGCACTTTGTGTTTTCGAGCTTGCCCAGGCACCGAGCTTCGGTTCGTAGGAAGCAGACCGCCTTCATCCGTCGTCCAGAACCAGATTAAACTTTTTTTTAGGTTTACAAGACCGCAGCAACGACCCAAGAAGGCAGATTTCGCGCTCCTCGCTGCTCGAGACAGCATTCCAGGCCCGCCCCTCGATGAAAAGTCGACGTTCGTTGAAGGAAAAGCCCAGAAATGTTAAACTTGAAGCAGAAAAGGACAATGAAGAGACGAATTCATGCCCTCGGCCTTGAGAAAGCCTTGTGGTTTTGTTTTCGTTGTTCCTTTGCGATTATTCGCACGTTTTTTCTCACCCATCGCAGACTTTCGGCATTTATGCCACCGCGGAAGCAACATTTCCCGCAAAAGCAGATAGAGTTCGTAGCAAAACGTTTTCCCGCGTTTTATTTTTCCTTTTTCCACTTTTCTCTACTTTTTTGGCCTAGAATTCGACTTTTTTTACAGGCTTTGCGCGCGGTTTCCCCCTAGCCTGATGGACGGCGCCGACCGCGGGATCGTGGCCTCATGCCACTTTTCCCCGGCGTCCGGCCTAAAATTGTCGATTCTTTGCCCAGAAAGTATCTATCTCTCTTTTCTTATCCACTCACAACCTTTGTTGTGTGTTCCAGAGTTGCTTCCAGCTGGGGAAACCCAAACAACCCAGATTTGAGCTTTCTCTTCGAGATCGCTCAGGATTTTCTTCCAGAAATGGGAGAAATATCCCGGCATTCATTGCCACAAATCAGAAAACACTCACTTGTGAGTGCGAGCTTATTGCTCGGGGTTTTTAGCCCATGCTTTCCAACTATTCAGACTTTTTTAAGCAAAAAAGCAGAAGTTTTTGAGTTTTTTTTAAGCCAAAAACTTGTTTTCTTCATTCAAAGCAGTCTCAAGCGCCTCATCTTCGCAAACAGTCTTCATGACCGACCGGCCGGACGTTATGGGACAAGTTGGACGAGGAAGGAACGCTGGAGCTGCCGAGAAGATGGTCGAATCGCCAACCCAGAAGCTGTGATGGCCGCGCCAACGCCGGACAAGCAGACTGGAGGACTCGCGGAAAGGTAATTTGTATGTTGGGCCGTTTTTTCTTTTAGTTTACTTTTAGTTTTCGTTTCTTTCGTCTAAATTTTCTTTCAAAAACTAGCTGTTGATGTACGATTCATTTCGCCAGCATCCCAGCTAGCTCAAAATTCAAAATTTCTTATCGAAATTCTAAAATAACGGTCCTCATACAAATCCTTTAAGCGAATTCAGGCTTTTCTCCATCACCCCAAAGCAGAATTGCTCTTTTTGAGCAATTGTTTCCCTCTCAAAGCAGATTTCAAGTCGAGCTCGCCTAGCGCGCGCTCGCAACCGGCATATTTGGGCGCTGGCAGATTGCTGTTCCAATGCAATCAGTCGCCCGATCAGCCAAAACTCGAAGCAGGGGCTTTGCGCTCGTATATCGAGCCAAAACTTTAATTTTCTTTTAGATTTAAGCAGATTGCCTTTCTTCAGCAACCGCCTACTTCAGTTCGTCTCAAGCCGCCTTCCGTCTGCAGCGGATCGCAGCAGGGCAGCAGAAGAAGTCAGCGCGAAGAAGCAAGTGCAATGCAGGTGGGCGTTGTGCGGCATGCTTTGCGGAAACGTAGAGCATTGCAGCCGCGCCCTCCAGCAGGTTGGCAGTGAATTTCTTCATTGCCAACTCACCCTTAAAGCAGGAATTTCCTTTTCCCCTGGGAATTTTCCCATCCAGGCCCTCTCTTATGAAGTTTTACTTCAAATCAGACCTTTTTTTGCTTTGAATTTACTTCAAAGCCATTCAGATCAAAACTTCGGTTTTGCTTTTTCCGCACGTTTCTACGTGCAAAGCAGAGGTTTTAGCTGTTTGTTGACGCTAAACCCAGGCATATAGGTTTTTGTGCTTGCACATTGCCGCCAGCTTGGTTTTGCAGATACAATTCAGCGAAACTTTTCGTTTCCCTCAAAGCAGAAAGCTTTCTTTCGTTAATTCCTTAACAAAAAAGTGTAAATTGCACGCAAATCAGATTTTCTTTTGCCCTCATTTTCTAAAAGTGCTTTCGCACACTAAAGCAGAGCTGCTCAAGTCGATGCGAAGTGAAGCGCCGCCCGATGTGCCGTCAACTCTTCGATGTTCGCTCACCGAGGTGCCTCCACACGCAGCCCCGCTCTCGCTGATGATGGGACGAATGCTGACGTGTGCATCGCCGACTCAAGCAGCTACTCGTCTTCAAACCGGACGAGGAGGATACGATCTGTAAGTCAGTTTCGCTTTGTTGTGAGCATTCTGCCTTACGCTCCGGCGCTAAAGGCAGATAGTTCGCTGTGGAGTTTGCAAATTCATTTTCTTTCCGCCTGGCCAGGTCTATGACCAAGGCACTCTGTGCTGCCGCGGATTGAATCTCGAATTCTGCAGACTTTGCTACGGGCTCTCACATCGTGTAAGCAGATTTGGCATTTGCCAATGATGCTGCGCGAATGCAAGGCAAACTGTCTTTTCATTTCGC